TAAGCGCGCGGATCCTGTTGATCAGCGTTTCTTATCGACGCTACGACTTTTTGCCGCAGTGTTTTCTGCTGATGGAATCTTTCACGGGCCTTTTGTATTCTTCGCGACACTCCTCGGCGTCCCATTAGGGCACTATCCGCGAAAATTCGTCGGCGCGTTTCGAGATAGTTCCTTAGTCTATCTTCGTAAGATGGCCTACTCCCATTACTTGTGATTGCTATGTTTCCCTTATTTACTGTTTTACTAGAAATAATATTTTTCGTTTTGGTTTCAGATGAGTTTGCATCACGGCTCAACTCATCGCCTGCTTTTGTATTCGTAGAGGCCTCAACTCGTGCGGGGTTTGAGTGGAGCGCGATTCCCGCGTCGTAATCGCGTTCCGTACCGAGTTTCCCGCTGGAGTACACGTTGGACACTGGTGTCATCACATCCAACTTTCCGCACTTGAAACAAAAAATTCGACGTTAAAGCGACATGCATTCGGTGAAAAAGTGGCGCTCGGCACCACAGTCCAGCATGACATATTTTAGCGCCCGACTGGTGGCTTAGCTGAGCGTTTATGGCGTATTTCCTCCACGGTGACTTGACACTCATCACCGGGAGTAAAACGCTCATCGTCTTCGGTTGAAGAGATTTGATTTACCCGCTGTGCGCGTTGCTACAAATCACGCGTTCCCGACGCGGAAAACATCGCAATGCGTTGTGATGCAAACTGGCGTCTGAGCGCAAATTGTAAACTGGGCCAGTCGACCTTACCGTGAAAACGGATATACAGCCAGTACCACTCACGCGCCTCTCCGCCCAATAGCCGATGGAAATCGCGTAATATCTCGCCCCCCGAGCACACGTATTGCCCTTTTAAGTACTCTAAACGGAACAAAAAATCTTCGATAGACATAGAATCGCGATGTCCCTGATAATTTATGTATGCCCCACTTTTCGATATTGATTTCCGATCTACTAATTTCCTTGTTGTTTTCTCTTCCAGATGCCGGACCAACGACTTGGAGACAGCTGCTTTAAAACCGGCGCTAACTCCTTGCGAAAATCTCGCGCGTTGGTTAAACTATTTGAGGAACCAGGTTAGCGTCGATATTGTTAGTGGACGGAGGATGGGGAAAGGTCAAGGTGGGTGTTGGCCCTCCCACTGAGTGGGTTATTTGCAATTCGTTATGTTGTTTAGGGACCGCCCCTGTACTGCGATCTTGATTCCCTGGTAAATTATTGCAGTCTCCCTGCCTAATATCTCCACGACTTGCCCCAACATTACCGCCCCTAATTCGATCCGAGAGATCTATAAACGCTGAGTCGTTTGCGCATGGCGCTTTAGGGTTTGGCACATTCGCTGCATGCATAGCAGCGTTTCTAGTTTTAGAGCGCGTCTTGTATGGGATGGACACCTTTCATCCGCGTGATATTCTTTACCTATAGCCCTCAATTTACTCTTTTTGTTCTTTAAACCCGTCTGATTTACAAGCGGGAAGTTCAGATGACTGCGGGGTTTCAAATTATTATTTATTATTATTATTTTATTTATTTTTGTTTTGTTTTTTTGAATTTATAGTCGTGATTGGAGCAGACCCTATCATTCCTGTGGGAGCGTATGCTCTTTCTGTAACTAAAAATGTCGGAGGATTATTATTATTTTTTTTTTTTTGGAAGATCTATCGCGTTATGCTTCACAATTGTTTGGACAGTTGCGGTCTCTTTGCATTCCAAGCAACTTATTTTTTTATTTATTTATTTATTTGTTACAGTCTTACGACTTAATAATACAACTATGATATTCGTACATACATATGTATTTGAATTGTAATGTTCTTATTGCAAAAATTACCAAATTAAATATAAAATTATGTATACAAAAACTATATATATTATATTACATAGGTCCATATTAGGCCGCATGAATAAAAATATGCAATTGCCCCCTCCAAAAAGTTCCGACCATCCACTTCAATTTATTTGAATAATCGAGTACAAGGTCGGAAATTCCAAGAAAACACAATTGCAGTTCCCAATCATACGGCAGAGCAGGCAAACTAGACAAGTGGTCTGGACTGGCAAGTTCCAGGCGGTATTGTTAGGGCAGTTGGAAAGGACTAGTTTCCAATCTGCACCTTCCCTTCTCATATTATTGCTTCAGTTGTTAGGGCAGTTGGAAAGGACCAGTTTCCAATCTGCACCTTCACTTCTCATATTATTGCCTCAGTTGTTAGGGCAGTTGGGAAGCACTAGTTTCCAATCTGCACCTTCCCTTCTCATATTACTGCTTCAGTTGTTAGGGTAGTTGGAAAGGACTAGTTTCCAATCTGCACCTTCACTTCTCACATTGTTTCTTCAGTTGTTAGGGCAGTTGGAAAGCACTAGTTTCCAATCTGCACCTTTCTTCTTACATTGCTGCTTCAGTTGTTTGGGCAGTTGGAAAGGACTAGTTTCCAATCTGCACCCTCACTTCTCATATTGTTGATTCGGTTGATCACGATTTCCGATGTTATACACGCTGTCTGAATGGACTAGATCCAGAGCAACACTGTTTGATAGGGTAGGAGGACGGTGCTTCGGGGATTGGTGTTTCGACTCTGTCAAGATTTGGAGATTCAGCAAGCTGTCTGAGTGGATTGGATCCAGAGCAACCCGGCTTTAAGCAATTCGGACTTGAAGAAGAAAAAAAATTATATATAACTATAAACCAACTGAATCTACTGTCAAACTAAACTTAGTAACGTACACTTCTCTGACTTACAAAAAAAAAGGATTTGTTTACGGACGATGCTTTTAGCCCGGACTACTTCTATCCGACTTTGCCATCGGTGGGCTATTGTCGGTGTCTGACCACCTGCTCCCCCGTTCCTATGCAGATGCCATTGAATTTTAGTGGGCTCCACCTAAGCAAGTCACTGGTTTGGTAGGAGGTCACATATAGCCAGACCAGTTTGGTTGAATGAACGGATTGTATGTCGTATACTAACTAATAATTTCCTTTTTTTTAAATATATTTATAATTGAATGAGCTATCTGTTTATTTCCTCTGGTTCTTATTAGCTCTGTCCTGGTGTTTTCCCTAAGAACATCTACTTTTCTGGCTCATTCGCGGGCGCCAATTTCAACCTGTGGCGCTGATCTCATCGCTATGCTTTAGTTTGGGCGCTATATTTATTAGTGTCACGTACACGTACCTGCATATTCGCCTTTTTTTCTGACATCAATGTGGTTACCTATGCTAGCTCAGCATATGTTATTGGCGCGGTTCTCAACCCTTGGCCACATTGAGGCGAGGCGGATGTTTCCATCGTCATCTGCATATATCGTCCCAAAGGAAGCCCACGTGCCCTTGAACCGCTCGGTCGGTCGTTCATTTCCGGCGGTTCCCCCCTTTTCTATTTATTTCTCCAATCACTTCTTTTAATTTCCAACCTTCGTCATCTTCCCGTCCCTCCTATATTAATTCAGCTAGTCATTTAGGGCTCCATTTACCAGTTTCAGATTATAACAATATTTATTACATAACATTTCAAAAGAAAACTACAAAGTTTATAATATACGCAAATACTTACATACTACAAGAATCTCGACTGGTATTTCCTATCGCACAAAAAAACAAACATGAAAGCGCAACTATAGCGCTGCAACAACCACAGGAAACTCTAACAGCTTACCTAAAAGAGCCCTCTTAGCCAGATATATATATACGTATGGTTTTCCGGGAGCCGGATCCTCTCAGCTCAAAAATTTCTTTAAAATTGGTATTGTTGGTTTGGTGTTTTCCTGGTTTGACGGGACACCGACAAAAATTACACACGAATTAAAAGTAATTAATTTGGAAACAGAAAGCGTGGTAAAAAGAATATTAATATCTTAAAGCTATTGCCTTGACTACGCCACTGGATTTCCTCGAGCTCGTTTCCCTGCTGCAGTTTATGGTCAAAATCTGCACACAATGTTAATTAACAGAGTGGTTGTAGCACATGCTGACCGACTCAACGGGTGACACCAATAAAATTCCCTGGCGCTATTGGCGATATAACACATTCGCAAAAGGTATAAAATTTCGTATA